AGTCCAGTGCTGATCCTATAGCATCACACCAGGAGTACAAATTGAAATCTTTCAACAAACTAATGCAGCACTGGAGACAGTCATTCATCTATACCAACCAATGGAAGAGGTCCATGTCTGTGCCCATTCCAAAGAGAGGTGACCCAATCGAATGCAGAAATCATCGGACATTATCATTAATATCATATTGTAGGAAATGTCTTTGATACTGACAAAAGCTCAAGAAATCCAATCTGTACACATTTTAGCGAGAGTGAGGTTTTTATTATTCGATTCTGCAAAATTGGGCACCAAATCCAGTAGTAGACACAGGCAACAAACCAAATGGTCAGCCTGCAAACAGTTTTATTCCCTCTCCTGTCTTGAAAAGGCCCCTCCTCCAGTTCCCTTTTGACTGGGTACTATGGAATTTACAATATACCCTGAAGGTCTCATTTCCCCCAACCCAGTTACACAATCTAGCCTGAATGGCACCCATGGTCTTAATGACTGCTTCTTATTTAAAGTTCCTAGTCCTGGAACAGATTTCTTTCCCCCCTCCCCCAATTCACCCTGCTTACATATGTTTGGTCTAGCAATCTTGTGCACCCTTCACTCCTGAAGATGGATTATCTTGAGAATTTCTCACAATACATAAATAAAATTTTGCCAAAGATAATTCAAAAACAGGTGCAACAGCACATTGATAAAGAACTTCCAGAGGTTCAAGCAGGATTCAGATAAGAACGTGGAATGAGGTATGTGAAATGGATCTTGGCTAGAAGCAGAGAATGCCAGAAAGATGCTCACCTGGTGTTTTATTGACTATGCAAAGGCTTTCAATTGTGTGGATCATGATAAGCTATGCACAACATATTCCAGAACATTTAATTGTGCTCATGAGGAACATGTACATAGACTAAGAGGCAGTCATATGAACAGAACAAGGGGACAATGAATGGTTTATAATCAGGAAAGGTGTGTGCCAGGGTTTTATTCTTATACCATAATTATTCAATCTGTATCCTGAGAAAATAATCTGATAAACTGGATTATATGAAGAAGAACATAGCATTAGGATTAAAGGAAGACTCATTAACAACCTGCAATGTGCAGATAATACAACCTTGATTGCTGAAAGTGAAGAGGACTTAAAATACTTACTAATGAAAATCAAAGACCACAGCGTCTGATATGGGTTGCACCTCAGTGTAAGGGAAAAAAAAAAAATCTCACCACTGGATCAATAATTAACATCATGATAAATGGAGAAAGGATTAAAACTTGTCAAAAACTTCATTTTGCTTGGATCCACTATCAACATTCATGGAAGCATCAGTCAAGAAATGAAATGACATATTGCATTAGACAAATCTGAGCAAATATGTCAGTGTGAGGACGAAAATGCACAAACTATGGTATTTTTCATGGCTTCATAAGCATATGAAATTTGGACAATAAATAAGGAAGACTGGAGGATTGATGCATCTGAGTTGTCATGTTGGAGAAGAATAATGAAAGTACCAAAGACTGCCAGAAGAACCAACAAATCTGTACTGAGAAAAGTACAGCCAGAATGCTCCTTAGAAGCCAGCATGGGGAGACTTTGTCTATCATAGTTCAGACATAGTATCAGGAGGAACCAGTCCCTGGAGAATGATATTGTGCTTGGTAAAGTGGAGGGTCAACAAAAAAAGAGGAAGACCTGCAATGAGATTGCTACAGTGGTAGCAGCAATAGGTTCAAGCTTAACAACAATTGTTAGGATGGCACAGGACTGGACAGTGTTTCATTCTGTTGTGTATAAGGTCATTATGGGTAGGAACTGATTCAATAGCACCGAGCAACAAGAAAATTAGTGGAAATCAACTTAATAGCAGTGAGTTTGGGTTTGATATTGTTCTGCGAAATGGCAAACATATTAAATAGTCTCTTCCCGTCTTCATCTTGCTTTCGGATCTTAGCTTAAATGCAAAGTCTTTCCAAAAAGCCTTTCCTCAAATTTGTCAACAATCATTGATTGTGGTTGTACATGATTAATGTAGCTGATATCACTAAATTGTAAGGGTGGAAATGTTGAATGGGCAAATGTGTTTTGTGTATGTAGAACATTTTAAAAGGCTGTTTCTCACTCTACCCGGCCATGTGATCAGAGGATCCTCCTCTGTGTTTCCATGGTCCTCTATCAAAGCGTATGTCTCACCAGAGTGTAATTAGAAATCATGTTATGTGTTTCATAGTAATGTGCATGCTCTGGGAGGATAGGGGCCAATCTCTAAGGCTCTACCCACAGCACCAAATTCTAGCAGGAGGTCAGGAATATGCAGGAAAAGATGAAATGAATGAATCATTTCTGATAGCCTCAGCTCTCTTTGGTCACTGAATTGGGAATGAAAGATATTCTTGGATAACTATTCAGGGAACTCACTGAAATAGTCTCTGTGTTCCACTGCCTGCATTTAGAAATAGTGTTTGGACACATATACCCAAAATACACACCAAATGAATAAGATTACTCTATATTTTGGAGGATAAAGACAAAAATAAGTAAATAAACCTATTTTTATGGTCTGAGAAACACAAACTGTTATTCTATCCTCAGTTCTCATTAATAAGAAGCCCTTTTGCCTTCTCATCTGATCTCTTCAAGTTAATTGATTGGTCTGATTACCTTAAAGCATTACTAATTGTATGGCAGCATCATTTATATTCCAAAATTGGAAATAGCATGCATATCTAGCCACAGCATGATGGTTTAAACAAAGGACAACACAATCAACTGATGAATTATTATGTAGCCCTTGACAATGGTGCCTAGAATATAATCTGAAGTTAAAAAGTGAGATAAAATTACATGTGCAGTAAAAATGAAATCATGTAAAAGATCAAATATATATATATATAATACAAGGAACAACCATATAATAATGGTGGTATTTATGGCTTAGGGATGTGGATAATTATTCTCTCTTTCTTCTTTGCTGAATATTTCATATTTTTCTTAATGAACTTTAATATTTTATTCTCACAGTAAAAATATCAAAATCAATAAATCATTTAATTGTTCATTTAAAACATCTTGCTCTTTTGTGCTGTAAGACTTTTGGCTGTGGATACGGGCTATCAGAAAGAGCTGCACTGAGAAGCACAGAGAAGACCATAAGGAGCCAACAAAGCAGTAAATGGGAACACATAGAATCCTCTATACTAGCAACTTAAACATAATACACATAGTAATCACTGACATCCACTAAGTCCTTACTATGTACCTGACATTTTTTGTGGTGGTGGTGGTGTGCCATGGAGTCAGTTCCAACTCATAGTGACCCTGTCTAGAGTATCTGAGGCTGTAAATCTTTACGGGAACAGAAAGCTTCATCTTTCTCCCACGGAACAGCTGGTAGTTTCTAATTCCTGACCTTCAGGTTAGCAGCCGTATTCATAACCACTATGCTAGCTACACTTGAAAATTACATCTTCATTAAAACTGTAGGAGACAGATATTGCTCTTACCTCCCCTTTTATAGATGAAACTGTGATTTAGAGTAGTTCACGAATTTGCTAGGAGGAGCCACAGGGTTGTCTACCAGGTCAGTGCTCTCCAAGGGCAGTCATGTTGTTACCATGCTCTACGGCTCCCTCCAGTGTAAAGGAGAGACTGAGGAGACATAGAGCATATCTCTAGGCAGTGCTTCCTTTTATGCCAATGCACAGCCTCCATGTCTATTTTCAGTCTGAGTAGGAAACTCTTCAGACAAACCCTCAACGGAATTAGTCAGTGGAGATGGTCTCCAGTAACCAAATGTTTACCATATTGTCTCAAATCTCTAACCAGTATGTGATCCAAGTTGTCTCTCTTTGCATCTAAATCCATTGCAAGATCCCTGGGTGGTATGAACACTTTTCTCTCACTGCTGACCTGAAGGTTTGTGGTTCAAATCTACCCAGCAATTCTGCAGGAAAACAAGGCCTGGCAATTTGCTTCCATTAAGATTAGAGCCAAGAGAACCTTATAGAGTAGTTCTATTCTGTAACACACGGGGTCACCGAGAACCAATGTGACGGCAAATAACAACAGCAACTATCAGCCCTGTGACTAATTTTGCAGACCCAGACCCACATGCCAGCTTCCTAGTTCAAAGGTGAACAATGGTCGCTCTACTCAGCAGCAAAGTTATAGACAATCTTTCTTCATATGCTTGTTGAAAGTTGATTTACTGTGCCAACGCAAATTGACTGAGTGCACTCAGCCGACACCATGGGCACATACAGCACTTTAAGGCTCTCTTATTTCATGATCTCATTGTCTCTGTGTGGAAAACAACTGGTGTAACATTTCTAGCAGTGCTGGAGGGACAGGCTTCACTATAGAAGAATTACAGGATGAAAGAACTGAGCATCTAGAGAGAGTCCAGTTCCTGTGGGAGTCAAGTATATCACAAAAATAAAGCTGGTCTTCCCATTCCCATGCCCAGGAACAGTGATGAGGGAGGTTGGGAGGCTGGGGAGAAAGGACAGAACCAGGGAACTGAACTGAATCCTTCAGTTCAACTTCTTGAGAATGTGCATATTCACCCCAGATATACTGAATCGGAATCTACAGTTTTACAAGATCCCCAGATGATTCTTATAGAGCCCCTCTCCCTGACCCGGGATTTTGTTAAACCGTGTAGATTTGGATTCTGTCTATCTGAGGTGTATATGCAAATTCTCAGTAGGGGCTGGCACTGGCAAACACCTGTTGGAAACCCTGGGCAAAGCTCATTCCATGAAATCAGTCATGCAGATTAGTCTGAAAGAAATGGCACTGGATTTAAAGGAAATGCATTGCAAATTAAAACAAAAAACAAATGTAGGAAGAGGGTAAACTTAATGAAGAAAATGAAATGAATAAACAGAGATAAACCCTAAAAAGACCATTAAAGCAAACTGTGAGAACTAGTTGGGGACATTGTACTCCATTGTGCTGTTTCTGTGTCCTGTCTCCTGAGGACAATGCTCTATGGTATCCGTTCACTTACTTTCTCTGGAACTGGACCACAGGATCAGCCAGTAGGTCAGTGACGTCGAGTTTTCTCCCCTTCTCTATGACATCTCGATGCTTGCGAACAAACAGCCACCCGATATGGGAGAAGAAGAAGCCCCGGCGGGCATTGTGGGGGTCAGCATCTGTCTCTGAGTACTTGTGGTGGACTCGGTGGTCCCTAGACCACTCGAAGATGTCATTCTGCAGAGAGAAGGGAAGCCAGTGTGAATATACAGAACACTCTGGTACCTGTTTGGGAAACTTCTCAGAATCTCTCCAGCCCCCATCCACCAATCCTCTCTGCTCATTTCCCCAGCTGTGCTTTCCTCTCATCCTTGATCTTAAAATTAATCCCTTAGGTTGGTCTGGGATGGTTTCCTTGGAACAAAAACAAATTCTCACTATCATGGACCCTACCTTGTGTTGGGTTATGCCCATCATGCAGAAGGTCCAGGCTTGTTGGGTGACCTATAAGCTCTGGCAGGGGTGCTATTGAAGTCTCCTGGAGAATAAATTATGCCAAAGAAAGAGAAAGCCATGGTTGGCATGAAGTCTTGGTTGTCAAAGGAGAGGGCCATCTCTTCCCTCCCTCTCCTACTTTGATGGCCTTTATGTCCAACTCTTAATAGAGTAGGAAGCCAGAAACTAAGACCTCAAACAGCTACCTTATCAAATCTTTGCAATACACCAAAGCACAAATATTGCTTTCAGACTGCTCTAGCAGGCTGTAACAAAAAGGGAGGGGGGGCAACTTTGACTCTTTAATGAACTCAGTATACTTGACAATATCCACCAAGTGGAAAAGCCACAGTGCCTGATGGGACAGGACTCACTGGCATTCACTGGCATCCCAAAAGAGGTGCAGATGCCCAAGGGAGGAGAAGCGTCAGTGTACAGAGGGGTTACCAAATGCACAGAGCTAAAGTAGATTCAGGACCACATGTGAGACAAACACTGGGACTCCCTGACTCACGATGGGGAAGGTGGTCCTGGGTAAGCTATCAAGGCAAGAATTGGTGACATTTACACTGCTATAATGAATGAAACCTCACCTATAACCAACAAGTTTCCTGGGTGGCACAGTTTACAAGATTCCTAACCTAAAGGTTGGTGGTTTGAACCTACTCAGTTGCACTGTAGGATAGGTACTGGACTCTTAACCACAAGGTTAACAGTTCAAATCCATCAGCTGCTTCTCAGAAACCTTATACAGCATTGCTATGAGTTGGAACTCAACAGCATTCAACAACAACAGCAGCAGAGGCACCACAGGGGAAACAAGGCTTAGCAATCTGCTTCTGAAACTCCTACAAAGTGCAGTTCTACCCGGTAACACACTGGGCTTCTATGAGAAAGAATCAATTCAAGGGTTCGGTTGTTTTTTGCTGTTATTGTGTTTGTTTTTGTCTATAGCCATGGGCCAGTGAGATCTATGGACTTATAATTTACACTAGGTTTTCTTTATGTGATGTTTCCAAAACTTTGAGAAGGCGCATTTGGTTAGGAATTAGTGTGTTGGATAGGAAAATTAATCTGAAAATAAAGATTAATTTAATCTATAAGCTTTTCAAAAATAAACAGTAATGGTAGGAGTGTTTTCCACCATAATATTCAGTATTTAGTGATGTATTCATTTGGAATTTGCCATTTCAGATTTCATTAACTTCATTCTGAAGAGAGGAAACTGTTGTATTCTCAAAGGTACAAGGATTCTTCTAACACAAAGGAAGTTCATTGAGTTTTCTGGTTCATCCAACACCACTAGAAAACTACTCAACCGTGTTCATCCCTCAGCACCACTGAGCATTTTCAAAATTTGTGTGACCCTACATTGACATACAATTTCAAGAGGTTCAAGCTAAATTCAGAAGGGAATGTGGAATGAGGGATATCAGTGTTGATGTCAGATGAATCTGTGTGACCCCTACATTGACATAGAACTTGTGTGACCCTGCTCTGACATAGAACTTCAAGAGGTTCAAGCTGGATTCAGAAGAGAACGTGGAATGAGGGATATCAGTGCTGACATCAGATGAATCTTGCTGAAAAAAAGAGAATACCAGAAAGATGTTTACCTGTGCTTTATTGACTATGCAAAGATTTTCCATTGTGTGGATCATGGCAAGCTATAGACAACATTGAGGACACTGAATATTCCAGAACACTTAATTTTGCTCACAAGGAACCTGTACGTAGACCAAGAGGCAGAAGTTCAAACAGAACAAGGGAGCACTGAATGGTTTAAAATTAAGAAATGTGTGTGCCAGGGTTGTATTCTTTCACCATACTTATTCAATCTGTATGCTGAGCAAATAATCTGAAAAGCTGGGTTATATGAAGAAGGATGTGGCATCAGGATTGGAGGAAGACTCATTAACAACCTGCGCTATGCTTGCCAAACGCAAAGAAGACTTAAAATACTTACTGATGAAAATCAAAGACCACAGTCTTCAGTATGGGTTGCACCTCAATGTAAAGAAAGCAAAAATCCTCACTAATAAATAAGATTATGATAAATGGAGAAAAGATTGAAGTTCTCGGAGACTTCATTTTGCTCAGATCAACCATCAACTGTCATGTAAGCAGTAGTCAAGGAATCAAAAGACGTATTGCATTAGGCAAATCTGCTGCACAAGATCTTTAAAGTGTTTAAGAGCAAAGATGTCAGTTTGAGGACTAAGGTGTGCTGGCCCAAGGCATGATTTATTTTCAATAATATCATATGCAGTGAATAAAGAAGACCATAGAAGAATTGATGCATTTAAATTATGGTGTTGGAGGAGAATATTAAAAAGTACCATAGTCTGCTTAAAGAATAAACCAATCTGTGTTAGAAGTATAGCCAAAATGCTCCTTGGAAGCCAGGAAGGCCAGACTTTTTGTTCGCATACTTCTGACATATTACCAGGAGAGACCTACCACTAGAGGAGGATATCATGGTTGGTAAAGTGGAATGTTGGAGAAAAAGAGGAAGACCTCTAACAAGATGGATTGACACAGTGGTAGCTGCGACGGGCTCAAATGAAGCAACGATTGTGAGGCTGGTGCAGGACCAGGCAGTGCTTCGTTCTATTGTACATAGGGTCATTATGAGTCGATACCGACTCAATTGCACCTAACAAGAACAACAACAAAGTAAAGGGAGGACTCTCGGTGTGCTGCTGTAGGATCAGCATTGGACTTTGAACCACAATGTCAGCAGTTCAAACCCACCAGCTGCTCCTTGGATACCCTATACTGGGTAAATATGAGTTGGAACCAACTTTATGGCACTTAACAACAACAAAGTACAGGCAACAAAGTAAAGGCAGGTGTCCTTATAGAGGGTTATGAATTGGACTGCTAACCTCAAGGTTTGGATTTACCAGTTGTTCACCTGGAGAAAGATGAGGTTTTCTGCTTCCATAAAGATTTACAGCCTTGGGAATCCTATAATACAGGGTCTCTGTGAGTCAGAACCAACTCTACAGCACAATCACCACTACCATCAAGATAAGGTGGTTGGACTTGGGTGGTGTAAATGACTAATGCACTTAGCTGCTAACCAAAAAGCTGGAGGTTTGAATCCACACAGAAGAAAGGCCTGTGATCTACTTCTAAAACATCAGCCACTGAAAATCCTATGGAAGGCACAGGTCTACTCTGACACACACAGGGTTGCCATGGTCAGAGTGAACTTGATGGCGGTGCTGGTAAGTAATGGGCAAGAAAGAGAGAAGGTGAAAGGGCTTTAAGACTATGCTTGGCTTTGGATAGGACAAGAAGAAATGTGCCTGGAAAACATTTTAGGGTAAAAGTTACAGCCTAGAGGTGAGACGGCGCTTCCCTGACCGGGCAGCACAGGTACGCAGGCTTGGGAGAAAGTAGGGGGCAATATCACAAATTGGGGCCCCCGCCTGGTAGACAGACAGCTTTTGGGCAAACATAAAACTTTATGAACTTGTTTTTTTGAAGGATCAAACTATTGAGGAGTTACGATCATTTTGAACTTCCACCCGCCTGCTCTGGGCTCCTACCCGGGGATGGCCCCGCCCACTACAGAACTTAGCAGGGCTTGAGCAGACCCATTCAAAGGGCGGACGCTCTTAGAGAATTAGCAGGGCCACAGGAACCAACATAGTCCATCCCAGGGGGGTGCTCATTGCCATATTAGGCATTACCGGCATGTATATAGGACAAATTGGGGGGCTCAAGGCACAGGGAGACAAAGAGAGGCATTTTAGACATCATCAAAAACAGACCCCATCTGCCTACAAGCACCAAACCCATCCCTCACATCTTCGGCCTAGGCCGGCTCTCTGCCCAGCCTCCTAGCCTTAGGCCTGCCCATCAAGGCATCAAGGTATCAAGGTTTGGGCCAGCCGAAGCTGAGTAGCAGCGTAACACCAGTAACAAAGCACCCCTGGTGTGGTTTAATCTGACAGACTGCAAAGCCTTTTGAATTGCAGGAACTGTGGTTCTAGCTCAACAGCTGCTATTGGAAACACTATACTGGGTCGCTGTGGGTCATAATCCACTCTCCACAGCATTTCAACAAGTAGCAAAACTCAGAAGGGCTTGAAACAGAGTAAGGACATTACAGACTTACTGAAGAAGCAGGGAGGGCAGGGCTTGCTGGCGGCTAGGGTGAAGGCATAGTGAAGGTCACCATCAAAAATAACTCAGAATTCCA